TTGTTCCAACAGTGTAACTTCTTATGCCAGCAGTCTAATAAATTCTCTAAATATTTTAAAGAGTAAAAAAAACCCATAAAATATCAGGATAAAGGTTCATGAAGGTGTTTAAGAACTTGACTGCAAGTACGCACACATAGCCTAAGACTAGGCAATAACCAACATCTTGTCATTGATGTTTTTTCCCCAGATACAATTGTTACTTGTTTCTGCTGACAAAGCAAATATCTCTCTAAAGGGCTGAGAAGAAAGTCAGCTAAGGTAACACATGTGAACCAACTTGGAACCACTTATCCCAAGATGAAGCAGAAGTATGTCAAGTCCATAAATAGCTGATAAATCTATTCTTTACCATTGGCCCAACTGAACCTTGAATAATGTAATTAAACTTAAATATGAAAGGAATTAAGCTGTTTTCTCTCATGGTGACTGACCACACACACTAGTCATGCCAATAAGCCACAAAAGTTACTAGCCTACAAAAACATTTACAAGCTCATTTGGGCCCTCATATATATCCATGTGAGTAATTTCATGCTGGATTACTTTTGCGGCTTGGAGATGTTGTTAAACTTAAGAAGATTAAGTGGAATCAGTGACACAAAGCATCTGTACCTACCTACAGCTGTTATTTAGCTGTGTGACATCCACACAGGCAAGCTAGCCAATGTCCAGTAAGCTTCAGTTTAGACTACTGTAGTGTACCATACATAACATCATACATGCCTTTACAGACTATGGCTATTTCAATGACTCCAAAATATAGCTGTTCTGACTATGAACAGGGACCACTTTGACCAGGGACAACTTTATATCAGACTAGACTTTTAAACAATTTTCTTGTATTAGTACTATTCCAAGCACAGTTCAAAATGTTTGCTTTGACATTTAACAAGCTACATTGCATGGAGCTGAAATACATAAAGAACTATCCAGTCCCACATGAATTTCTTCAGAGACTATGATAACCTTCAGAAGACTTTCTTTATTGTCCTTTCCTTCTGTAGATGGTGAAAAACAAAAGGACTCTTTCGGTGGTAGCAGTCCACTCTCTCCCAAAGAATGAGAAAGTTACTCTTTGGAGTAGTCATGCAGGTTAGAAGATGCTGGAACCTGTAGTCCCACAAAGTAGTTTTCCCAAACTATGCCTCCATTCCAAAAAATTAACTTCTCATAAGACATCTTGTCTTTTCAACACTCAGCAATGGCATTTTTGTCGAAGGCTTTCATGGCTGGAATCACTCAGTTCTTGTGGGGTGCTTGCCATAGATGCAGGCGAAACATCAGGAGAATGCCTCTAGAACATGGCCATATAGCCCCGAAAAAACCCACAAGAACTGAATGGCATTTTTATTTACACCAAACTTTTAAGCATCTATTCGTTTTAATATTGACTGCTGCTGGAGACTCTCTGCACAATCCATTCCAGTGTTCAACTTTGCATTGACATTTCAAACTTTTCTATGTCATCCTATCATTATATGCTTCTTAGACTCTTAGTTAAACTAAGAGACAGGATATAAAATAAATAAAATATTTGTGGTCTCACAGATGAGGAATGAAACAGAAGCACCTCTCTTATAAGTTTACAAAAGCTTCCCAAACTGGCATGACATGGCAATTCTCATTTCACCAAAGGGGACCAGACAAGAGACTATTGACTGACTGTCCAGTCAATCAGTAAAATGCACACAGTTATAAATGAGGCAGAGTTAAAGATCTATACCCATTGCAGCAAACTCCTAATATAAATAAACATCAGGTCACCAGATGTGGCAGCTGGACACACACACAAAGTTTCTCTTCCAGTCACGGATGCACAGGATAGGCCAAAAAGACATATGATGCGTCTGCAGAATTTAACTGAACTGTAACTTTAAATCCATGATATCATGCTTATTGTAAAAGTAAGAAGATACTATAATAATACTATAATGATTTATGTTATGATAACTACATCATAGCTAAACCACAGTACTGACAATTTTGGAATATTCACATTACTGCTGCTGTTGCTGCCTTTCTAATTGCTCCATAGATGCACCATTTGAATGGGCAGATATCATCAAGCAGCACAACCTGGCAGAGAACACCTATAGCCTTTAAACATAGATATGATGAAGGTCACACGGTAGCAAAATTAAATGGCAAATCCTTGCATCATCAGCTTAAACAACTTCCTATCAACAACTTCCTATCAACAAATCTGTTTATCATTTCTAAATAAACCAGAAATGCAAGCAAAGACAAAATGACTTCATAATCATAACAGCAACATAATCCCTTTGATTTGAGGTCTATTCCACAACAAGAAAATCTAAACTGCCCTGGGATATCACACACTCAAATGATTTGGCATGGCACTCACTAACTAAAACAAACAAAACAAAGAATCAGCTTTCCCCACTGTTACTGTCACCAACCTCTGTCAACACAAACAAATTCAATCATAAACAAGATGGAACTGAAGATTGGTCTTTAAAAAAATGCAAATATGACAATGTAACATTAGCACTATTTCATTTTAATGAAAACAATCAAGAACTCACATTTTTCCTGTAGCTTCTACTTTGTCTAAGATCAGGTTTATACATTACCAGCATTTCTGCTGTATACATTATCCAAATACATTACTTTCCATATACATTTGTTATTATTTTCTGAAACATAAAAATTTACGTTGATTCCTGACCAGATGGACAACACAATTAAACAGACATACTTAGATTAAAATCCCATCCATTCCATTTAAATCACCTGAATGAAATTTAGGATGGGATGACCATACATAGTATAGTAATGTGACTGTTGGCCTTGGACTCGGAAAGACTGGGATTAAAATCCCTACTCAGCCATGGAAAGTCACTGGGTGGCCTTGAGCAAGTCATACTTTCTCAGCCTAGGGAAGTGGCAATCTACCCACCCCTTTTTTTTAATCAAAACCCCATCATAGCTTTGTTTTAGGGTTTACTTTAAAGTTGCCAAGAAAAAAAATATTTGTTATGTTAAGATAAACAATACAATGCCATGCATTTTGATTTGGAAGTAAGCTATAGCATGTTCAATAAAGCTGCCTATCAAATTAGGATGCACAGGATTGCAGTGTAATACATAGATTTGTTCATTATTTCAAGCTACAGTAGACTCGCTGAACCAATGGGATTTAGGTAATTGCTGATTTCACTAAGTGCAACTTATTTAATGGATCTCTCCAACTGGTAATAACAATAGGGCCCTAGTTGTACTCTGTATGATCTGCATAAAAAAAAATCTAGGATTCCAAGGAGAAAGGACTAGGCCAGAAGATGTCTTCATAACTGACTACTGAAAGTAGAAATATCCTTGACAACAACAGCTCCACACAACTTAACCACCAGGTATACTGAAGCAGTATACTGTTCCAGCTCCACTGGCTGCCGATTTGCTACCGGGCCCAATTTAAGGTGCTGGTGTTGGCCTACAAAGCCCTAAACGGCTCCGGCCCAAAATACCTTTCAGACCGCATCTTGGCCTATGAGCCCACAAGGACCTTGAGATCGTCTGGGGAGGCCCTTCTCTCGATCCCGCCTGCTTCACAGGCACGTCTGGCGGGGACGAGAGAAAGGGCCTTCTCGGTGGTGGCCCCCCGGCTGTGGAACGACCTCCCTGCTGACATCAGACAGGCGCCCTCCCTTCTGTCCTTCTGTAAGAGCCTGAAGACCTGGCTATTTGAGAAGGCATTCAACTGAGCGCTACGGCAACTGGTAATTGACAACTGGAACGGAATACGGATTACGATATTGGTTATGATTCTATGATGTGACGGAGCGGATTATTTAGTGTAACTAGATTATAGTGTATTATTGTTGTATTGATTTCCTGTTTTGCCCTTTTGTAACTGTTTTTATATGTTGTGCACCGCCGCGAGTCGCCCTAGGGCTGAGAGCGGCGGTCAATAAATGCAGTAAATAAATAAATAAATAAATAAATATAATACAATCACTATATAAATAAGAGCCTCCGGTGGTACAATGGGTTAAACCCTTATGCCGGCAGGATTGCTGACCAACAGGTCAGTGGTTCGAATCCGAGGAAAGCAGATTAAGCTCCCTCTGTCAGCTCCAGCTCCCCATGCGGGGACATGAGAGAAGTCTCCCACGAGGATAATAAAACATCAAACATCCGGGCATCCCCTGCGCAATGTCCTTTGAGACAGCCAATTCTCTCACACCAGAAGTGACTTGCAGTTTCTCAATTCACTCCTAACACGGAAAAAAAAACCCTATAAAAATATGGTTTTCAAAGCTGAAACGTGTATGAATTATCACTTCCCTAGAAATGTTTTCTTAAAATCTGGCACAATTTCAGGAAAAGAGTATTCACAAACCTTTAATGTTTTATGTGCTGGTCAGAGACAGAAAGAATCCAAATTCACTCACAGACCTAATGAGCTATTTAGGAGGCTTCTCTTTCACACACACACACACAGAGAGAGAGAGAGAGAGTACTTGTAGTCAACTCTTCTATTTAAAAAATGAAACCAGAGTTTTCCATGCTCTAAATATGAACGAAATGACTGCAGAATGAACTTTTGAAGTAGGACAAGGCCTCTTTCAACCAGATGCATCTACCAAAAATGACTCCAGCCTATAATGTGTGCATCAGTCAATTTGTTAGTTTTTAAAATAGCATCTGACGCTTCACTTGCTTTCTCTAGTACCTATACTGTGATTCTTCTTGAATTTGCAACATGGTGCAGCTTACAGTGACAAATAAAGTTATCCTATGATACAACGACATAGATGAAGGAACACTTTCAAGAAAACAGAACATGGCCTATAACACCTAAAGAAGACAGGTAATGCTCATAATCTCCATAATTCAAAAAACTCAATCACATTAAAAAGGGTAAAAATCACATTAAAGCGGGGGGAGGGGGATAAGTATTACCAAAACTTCAAGGTTTTCATGTTTCAGTCATCATTGTGCCGTAGCCTTGTAAAGAAATAGCATTTACTCACTTTCAATGAATCAAAGCAGGCGATTACGCGTCCATTTTCAACTTGGCAGCTTTTCGATGGATGTGCAAATTTACATTCCGTATCTGGTCGTGAGCAAGTCCCTCTTTGGAACTCTCGACACACTTCCAGTGTTAGCCATTTTGTGTCCCGGATTGGTGTGACACTTACAGCCATGTTTAGATTTTACAGGTAGTTAAAAATTGTCAATGAAATGAACAAATTAAAAAGAAGAAGGCCAAACTGATAAGAATCAAAACGATGAAAAATGTCACCTCCAAAATATTTCCCCAAACCCCAAGCCCAATGTTAAAAGATGTAAAATCGTGTTGTTGCAACAGCAAGGAAAAGGTTTCCACTAGAAAGTCACAGCATGAAACTGTCAATTGAAAGAAGGGGAGGGTTTTTTGTACTTAGAGAAATGCTAAGATTGTTAAGTAAAATCAGCATTTAAAAGTGTGGCCTGGAAGGAGCCTTGTGCTCTCATTTACTCATTCCAAGTGCCAAATTGGAGCCCAAAATGCAAGCAGCAAAACGTGGCAGACCCTTCGACACAGAATTTCCAAGCTGCTGTCAGGAAAAGTTGTCTGAAGGGTGATCTCCACACAGCTGAATTTGCAATAATTGTTAATAATTTAATTTTGAATTTTTGGTGTGGTGCAATTGGTATCGATTAGTTTGGCACAGACAGAGGCAGCAGTTTAGAGCAACAAATCGAAGATTATTTTTTCTCCTCTCTTTAATTTTTTTTCCTTTCTGGCAGAAGGCAGGTCACTTTTCCAGCAAACTTTTACTTCTATGAGAATAACTAAAGCAGCCTAGGGCAATGCTGGACGCTTAGAGCTCTTTCTCTTGATTAGAAGTAGAAATGAGGGGAGGGGTGGCTGGACTAGAGGTGGAGGGTAGATGTGCTGTCGTCGCAGTCTAGCTGGCAGCAAGCAAGGCAAAAAGCAGGGACTGCTCTAGAAGCGGTTCCAAGCAGCAGAGACGTCAGGAAAGGCACTTCTTAGTACCAACCTGTAGAAAAAACAGATACGTTAAAATTTACCAAGCAGCATTTCACTGATGTCTCACAGCATAATCACGTCGCCATGTGCTCCCTCCATCTACTACTGCACAGCATGACACTCTTTCCTGACTCAAACAAAATACTTACAGTACAGCATATTGCAGACAGCCATCGTAGATTTTATTAAAAACGGAGCCGTTTTCCCCTTCTGAAGCAATGCATGATCAGGAGATAACCAATCACAGATAGGGTTGCAGCAATATTCTGGGCAGGAAGCCAATAGTGTGGGCTGTCTTATGAAAGGTCGCGCCTCTCAGACATTCATTACTATGCTATAAGCAGAGAAAATGTCCATCGGATGCGACTTATCGCACTGCAAGAGGACAACCATGTGGGTTTTGAATTTACCCAACATGCAGTTAGAGGATTAAACCATGTTAGTTTTCAAACAGCTTCCAACTTATGCACAAGTGCCCAGGGTAGTACAGACAGAAGGAGAAAGAGAGAGGAATAATAATATATATTTTTAAAAGAACGAAAGGAAAGAAGCAACTGCAGCTCATTCTTTCTCTCTCTCTCTTTTTAAGACTGCTTTTTTCCCCCCTGCTTTGCATTGAGCACGGCAAGCACAGAGCACGCCTACTGTATCTGACAGATGAATATATAAAAGGAAAAGGGGAGTTCACAAATGGTACGGTCTCCTGACCTATCCAATTCACTTCCTTCTGAACTAGAAGTCCTGCCTCCCTCGAGTAAAAGCAGCACTTTCCTTTAAGCGCTGTGCAACTATTTTGTGCTGTCAGCAGAGAGACTGCCAGTATATATAGCCTTGGCAGGTTAGATACAAACAACAAATCCCTTCCCCACTCCCCCTCCCCACAAGCAAAAACTCAGGTCGTACAAGGGGAGGTGGAAACCGTAGTGCTGTCAGGATGCCTGGCAACACAACACAAGCCAATCTGCGGGGATCAAACGATGCTTTCACAGTAATCTGAAATATCAAGCAGGCAATCTGATTTGAGCAACATGATACGCTTCAGAGCTACACTTCCGAATTAAAGAGATAGCACCAGAAAGTGCCTACTGCTACTGAGGCTGATATTCACACCACTAGTACCTTCCTCAGGAGTTTATGCCTCAAGATGGCTTCTTGAAAGGAACAGTTTGCTTTGCATTTTACTAGTTGGGACAGTTTTTGCAAGGGGTGGAGGGGGTGGGTGAAAATGGTAATGATTATTATTCAGAGAAGCAAACAACTGCGGTATTTCTTAGCCCTTGGGAAAAAGGAGAGCTGCTGTAAATTTTATAAACCAAATTAACTCAAAAGGACATATGCAAAGTTAATGCTGTTTTATTCTCATTTAGTTAGTTCTGAATAGAACAACCGCTTCTCTGTTTTCTCACTCTCTAGCACAGAGCTTAATGTTGGTGACACACCATTTTTATACAGGCATCATTTCTTGACACAGTAATTCAATTTTACTAGCAAACCGGACATTAAATCAACTCTGTATAAGAGATACAGACATATACATAAATTATAATAATAAAATGTATGGGATTGCATCATATCCCATGAAAAACTTTCATTTATATATTTTTAAATATATGATTTATTGGTTATGCCATATAGACCAAGGGGTTTCTTGTTATATTTGTGCACACACCTATACACTGCAACCGACACACTAACATGTCGTAACAAAGAGTTTGGAAAGCTCTATCCTAGCATTGTATTTTCTCTTTCTGTTTCTCCCTCTGTATTCTCAAAACTCTCTTGACATGCACAATCCACAAAAGTAAAGAATGAAAAGGAGTGGTGTTTTTTTCCCCCATATACTTCATATTTGATATGAAGATATGGAAAAGCTATTGTGTACCATCACAAACCATCCTGAGTCCCCCTTCGGGGGTAGAGAAGAGATGGGGTAGAAATACTGGAAATAAATAAAAATAAACATCCAAAGTATCAGTAAATTCCAGAGGCAAATATGTTATGACAGACAAAATGACCTTTGAGTATTCCTTGCCTATGAAAACTCTATGACATTCATGGATTCACCATAGGTTGACAATTTGAAGGCACACACACACACAAAGGTGTAGGTACACAGCAAAGTTACACTAATTTCTCAATTTAACAGTCATGGCTCCATCCTAGAAATCTTGGGTATGTCATTTGGAGAGACCATAAGGATTCTGCTCTTGTAAACTGTCCTACTCCACTCCCATGAGCTAAAACACCAGAACTTTCTAGCAGAAAATTCTATGTACCATCTCAAAATACAATTCCCAGGAGCCTGGAGGACAAAAATTAGATATTTAAAGCATTATCAAAATCCAATAGCTGCATAGTGCAGATATATTCTATGTTAATTCTAAAAGTTTAAGCAAAAATTGAAGATTCTGACTAATTGAGAAGCAAGTAGTATGAACTTCAGAAGGCTTTCTATGGATATTGTTTAGCCATCTGGTTAATAGTTGAGAGGTTTCTACTGCTCAAATCAACATGGACTGCCCTTCTACTTGAGGTGAAAATATCATTGAAAACACTGGGATTTGCTTCTGTGTATATATGAATAAGACAACACTGTTACTGTCATTGCTCAGCAATGACCTGGGGTATGTAACTGATATTAATAGATTGCTGATGCTTTATATGGTTAGTTAGAGATACAACTGGGTGGGGTTTTTTTTGTCTATACTAAAGATTTACAGAGAGTCCATGTTACCTCTTTAACTCTGATAAATGAATTGCCTGGATTAAACCACTAAAGTTCTCTAGAATAAAATTGCAAGAACTTCAACAAATGACAATTTCCAGAATTCAGTTGAATCACCACAACAGTCAAAGTGGCATATAACTGCTATAACATATGCTAGGAGTGGGGAAAGTATGGCTTGTGAAATTCATCTTATGACTGATGAAGCCTCTCTGCAATCCCACAAAGTCCTAAAAGACCCCCATGTTTGTTTGTTTTTTAAAACCAGATTCTTGGATGACATTCTACCTGAAAATAGAGCCAGGACACCTCAAACCATACACTGGCATACTGAGGCTAGCCTTTTCCCAACCCCAAAACCTAAAATATTCTTCCGTTTTTTAAAAAAACAAAACAAAACCTAATTTCAGTTATACATTTGCTGAAACTTACAACCAAAAGTGATGTGACATCATTTCTTATGTATCAGAACATGGTAATGCAGCCAACAGGAGGGCAAGTGGAGATAATTGTGCCCTCTTCCAACACAAAAGCTTGCACCTCAGATGAACCCTATGTCTTCCCAGTAGCCCACTTTAGGAAATAAAGGCAACATTGTAGTTGTTACCTTCCATCCCATAATCAAAGTCCTACTATTTCATTACTAACAAATTTAGAAATTACCACCTAATTTCTTACAAAGTATTCCCAAAAGCAACGACCAAGGGTGGATCTACCCTGAATCCTTATCCAAGTTCGATCCAGTGTGGTATACGCCGGATCACTCTGGGATGGATTATACATTCATCCCAAAGGCCACTGTGGAGGCAGGAGGGATTCCCAAATGCCCAGCAGCTCCAAACATGAATTGGTACTGCTGGACAGCCACCCTATCATTCCCTTCCCAGTTTTCTTGTTGTGGCAATCCCTGGATGTGACGTGGGTCCTGTCAGTGAGACATCAGATGTATTGTCATCAGCAAGGAAAGGGGAAAGGAAGACGAGGAATCACCTCCTCCTCTCCCCTGAGCAACATCACTGTAGGCAATGACTGATGGGCATGACTCATGTTGTGCCCAGAGACCACAGTAACAAGGAGATTTGGGAAGAGATGGTAAGAGCCATTCTATGTCCAGGAAACACAGGTTGGCTGTGTAAATATGTATTGCTGGTTCCATCTTGGAGCCAGACCAACTGCTTAGTAAGGGTAAAGGAACTGTTTACATGTGTCCAAAATCAAAGGATCCTTCAAATTCTGCAATAAAATTCAGAAACCATTACTTTGGTTAACATGAGTCAGGGCTGCATTAAGAGGGACTTATCCCACATTAGCCTGGATCATCCATGTGTAGTTTCACCATCACTGAGCTGATCTGGGTCCTCTCTGTGGTAAATGGTCAAGAGTAAATGTACCACAAGAGTCTTGTGGGGGCTAAAATCTAGCAACTCGTTTGACATAGGCTGCCATAGATTGCAACCCTTCCACCAAATGTATGTTCAATACATTGTGTCATAAAATGCAATTTTAAAAGTAAGTCTGAATGACCTCAGTACTCTTACTCTCAAATAATTGAGAAAGGTGTGATGATTAAAAAGAAGAAGCAGTGAAGTCTATTTGTTTATAGAAGCATTTATATTTCCCCCTGTATCTCAAGGCAGTACAAAGATAAATAAAATCACAGCATTTTATCTGTATTATGAGTACATTTTATAGTTAAGTTAATTCACTTACACTTGGCTATTTCCCAGAAACACAGAGAACCCTGGGATTTCCTTATATCTCTTCCCCCCCCCCCCAAATTTAAGAACCAACAGGGCAGCACTAACCAACTCGGACATAAAATTCTTTGTGATTAGGTACAGACTATACTGCAGCCAATCTTGGTATGTCACTGGAATTTAGCCTATGAAAACATTGCCTCTCTTCCTGATTTATGAATCTGGAGCATAGTGCAATCACCAGCTTTCAGTAGAAGCACTATGCCACCCTTTTGAAAAGAAAAAAAAAAGAAGAGATGTCTTTTCAGTTACAGTGTACAAAGATATAACTAGTCAAGATAACATTATGTGAATGAGAGATTGCCAATAAGATAACAGTATCTGATCCTAAATTAAGATTTTCAACAATCCCTTTCATATGAGACAATCTTCTGCTAGACTAGAGGAATTAGTATCAAAATCCATACACTGCTCTCAAAATTGACAGATCTGTTAAAAATGGGCCTAATATTAGAAGAATCATTTTTCATCAAATATATTTTAATGTCTGATGAAGTAGAAATAACAAATACTTCAATCATTTTTTTT